TAACAAAGAGATTATACACAAGGGAGGGATGGGAACAACCTAAAGAGGACAACAATGGGAATGTATCTTTCTGTGCAGTTTTAACTTCTGACCCATGTCAATGTTTTATGTATTCAAAAGTAAGTTAAAAAGATTTTTAAAAATCTTAAACACAAAAATTTTAATGAATCTGTATATTAAACTGATAACCCAAATGAGAAAGGATTCAAGTAATTTCTGAAAACAGTATTATAAACCTTTGTATATGATATATTCTAAGCATAAGAAGAACTGCAAAGAAATTACAAGCTTTCCTTAAGAGGTTTTATTAGAGGTGACATGAGGGTAGTAATTACAGAATTACCTCCTATGTGTTAAAGCCAGAGCATGTATTTAAAAAGGAGGTTCTTAAAACGAGGTTCAAGCTAGAAATAGTGGTACACCTCTGGAATACCAGAACTTAGAGGAGGCTAAGACGGGAGGATTACTGTGAGTTGAGGCCCGTCTGGGCTACAAAGTAAGGCCAGCTTGCCTAAAAAAAAAAATTTTTTTTTTGTTTTCCTTCCAGCTCTGTTCATTTAAAGAGCCAGGAAGCAATGACATCCCAAGAGCAGTAAGTAGTGTTTGCCCGGACCTTGAGTTCTAATATTCTTCCCAAAGGAGCTGGGACTCCTTGGAGAAGCAGCTGATTCCAGGACTGCTCGAGGACAGTACAAAGCACTCTTGGGACATGTTGGTGGCAGAAAGCAAGCAAGTGCTCAAGTGCTAATAAGATCAAAGATGCAAAGAGCCAGCTTGGAGTTCCCCCTGCCCAGATTTGGGACTCAGGACATTAAAACTTAATATTATGAAAAAAAAGATGATGGAAATGGATTACAATACAATGAACAACAATAAAAATCCAGGAATACATGATTTTAGAGAGAGCGAGAACAGAAACTAGAGGGCAAAGTCGTCTTCTTTATTAACAAAACAAAACAAAACTCCAGGTGGTTAATACAGAATAAGTGATGGAGTTAGAAAACTAACACTTTGCAATTCTTGATATAATAACTGATCCTGGCAAAGAACATTAACGGATGCCAAAAGCACTGAGTCAAATGCTGTGGGGAACAAAATTCAAAGCACATCCCCAGATGACCACTATGTATTAAGAAGGAAAAAAAGAAACTTCTTAATAGAGAACCCTTAATATTACCACTAAGCAAGTGATCAAACTTAGTAAGACTGATACAAAGCTAAGCTGACATGCTGTGCCTTTCTCATTCCATATGCCATGAAGAATACACACTGTATTACCTCACGTTGCCAAAAAACTTTAACTTGAATCTAACAATGGAGAATCAATTATAGAGAATGCCAGGCATGATAATGCATGCTTGCAATCCCAGCACTCTGGGAGGCTGAAGCAGGAGGATTATAAATTCAAGTCTAGCCAAATTCAAACTTTAAAAATAAAAAAAACCAGCTTGGAATGTGACTTAGTGTAAAGACCTTGGGTTCAATCCCCAGGACTAAAAAAAAAAGAGAGAGAGAGAGAAATAAGTATAAGACATTTTACAAGACAGCTGGGCCTGGATTCCTCAAAAAGTCATTATCTTTCTATGAATGGGAAGTAGGAAAGTATTTAGATCAAGAGACTAAAACAGTCAGAAATACCAAATATAATGCATGGACTCTGATTGGATCCTACAACCATAGAAGATACCTCAGGTATAAATGGAGGAAATTTAAATATAAACTATATATTAAATATTAAATCACCACACAAGGACCTAGATGTAATCATCATACTGTGATAATCTGGAGAATGTCTTTAATCTTGAGAGATGTATGCTAGGCTATAAAGAGTAAAATGTCATGAGATCCCTAACTTCCTTTCAAATAGTTCAGAAAAGTAAGTGGGGAAGGAGGAAAGAATTGGAAAAAACTGGTAAAGGAAATTCTACATAAGGAATGCCTATTCTTTGGGAAAAGCAACCATTCCTGTGTACAACTTAAGTAAGCTTGACAGCTGCCCATCTCACTGGTGTAATAAATATACTTTTTTATTTACTTTTCACCCAAGACAGTGCAAAGAATTAACCCCACCAAAATAATCTGTAATCCAGCCTTTCCAACCGGACTTTAGAAGGACACTGTGGCCTAGGATCCCAGTAAGAGGCCGAGGTAGGAGGACTGCAAATTCAATGCGAGGCTGGCAAACTTGTGACACAGCCAAATGCTGTCTCAAAATGAAAAATAAAAAGCCTAGAGAAGCTCAGGGCAAGGCCCTGGATTCAATCTGAACCCTGCCAAAACAACACAGTAAGAACAGGACTCTAAACTAACAGATACTTAGCACTTGCTCCTTCTACCTTTAGGCATCTAGGAGTCCCCTTAGGTCATCTACAAAGTGGGACTAAAGGCAAAGGGCCAGTAAACTGCCTCAGTCTCAAAACAGTATTCTTCATGTCAGAATCCCCTAGATGAACTAGATTCAAGTAATGAAGGAAATTTCACGGATCATAAAGACCAACTGCAACTAAACCCTGTCAACCCAGAATCTGTCTGCTCCGGAATTGCTGAGTGCTAAAGAAGCTAACAGAAGCTGCTAACAGTGGCAGCTGGCACTGTCAAGCTATAGAGACCACTCTTTAGAGCCGTGTTCTCTAACACTTGCACGGTGTACAAGCACTGAGCTGAGAGAGACCTGAGTTAGTACGCTCTTCCTGATGCTCCACTCTTAGTCTTGTTATTCGTAATAAAAATAACAGCAACTGAATAGGTACTAGCACTGCGCTGCATGCTCTTCCTATATTTGAAGACTCACCTCAGAAAAGCTCTTTGCAGTATGTACTACTATTGGCACTTTATAGAGTTAGATTCACTTCCCCAAGTTCACACTGCCTACTAAGTGTTAAAACTTGAATTCAGACCCAGATATGTCTGAATCAGATGCCTGTGGTTTAAAACTTATTGTGATGTTGTGTCCTATGGGCAAAACAAGAGATGACTTAATCGTCACACCTTAAATCAGATGAAAATCTGCTCTTTTGAAGATGGGAGGAAAAAGTTTGAAGAATGCTCTCTCTTTATTCCAGACAAACTAATTTGGAAAGCGCCCCAGAATTATGGATGCTCCTACTGAATGGCCCCAGAGTCCTCTCTCTACTGGAGTCATGTGTATTCCCATATGCTAGCAGAAACTCAGTCATCAGTTATATCGAATTCTTAAAGTCACCGGTTTAGGAAAGACTGTTGGTAGGAAAAGCTTTGGGAATCTGACATTTCTAAGCTTAAGGCTCTAATGTAGCTCCAGTTAAAGAGGATTCCTGATATTTAAAATAACTCTTGCTTTTCTTGACCTGAAATTTCTTCCAAACAGATCTTTCATATTCAACCATAAATATCTCCAAACTCCTACAACTCATAAATGTCACCACCCGCCAGAATGCCTATGAGAAGAATATGAGCAAAGTGATCTCTGGGAGAAACAAAGCCACTTTAAAATTAGCAGTAATCAAAACTTCTCTAGTGCTTCCTAGTGCTTTTGTTTTCTGACCACAGTTTTAAAATTTTTTATTTTATTTTCTGACTATAATAGAGATTGAACTTAGGGTATTCTCAATGAGCTGTATCCCCACAACTCTATTTAACTACCTATCTATTGAGATAAGGCCTTGTTAAGTAGCTAAGTTACAGGACTCAAATTTGATCATCTTGCCTCAGACTCCCAGAGTGCCAGAATTATAGGTATGCACCATCTTCTGAGTACTCGTCACACATGTGGATTAATTTCACAATCGTCCATAACCCCATTGCAGAAATAAGGAAACTGAGGCCAGACAGGTTAAATAACTTGCTCAAGGTCTCCGATATAGTAAGTAGCTGGGATGTAAAAACAGGTAATCTGATTCTAGAATCTGTTGCTCTGCTATCCCTCAAAATGGAACCAGCTTCTGGTATAAGCTGTGGAAAGGCCAACAGAGCTAAAAATCAATAGCAAATTCTCTGCATCACCCTGCAGGAAGCATGGATATGCACATGCAAAGGTTTGGTGATGCAAACACCTAACACTTTGCTGAACAGGATTTGCATCCACAGCCCTACATTGCAAGCCCCCCATGGCTTAGAAGGTGCTGGCACATACACTGTGATATAAGGTTATTCTTTCCAGAACTGAGGTCACAGAACAAACTGATGAGTAACAGTGGATGGTCATGGCACCAATATTCACGTCAGCTCACATCACTGACTTTGATAACCCCATGTACCCACCAGGCAGGTCAATGATACTATTTGGTTTTCATTTCAGTTGAACCCAAGGCCTTCAACATCCCAGTCATTTAAAACGCATTTTTATTTTGAAACAGTGTCTTGTTAAGTCACTGTGTTACCCAGGCTGGGCTTGAATTTTCAATCCTCCTGACTTAGCTTTGCAGAATGCTAGGATTACAGGCATGCAACACCACACCTAGGCTGTACAGCTCTTCTTCATAAGTGAACGACTTATATCTAGGCAGATGTACTATGGAGTTTATCAAGAGTTACTAATATACAATTATATTCTCTTTAGAAAATTGATTTAAAAACACAGAAAATCTATAACTATGATTTAAAAAAACAGAAATCTATAACATGGATGAACTTTTAAAAATATTATTGAGAGAGGAAAGTTATAAAAGAGCATAAAATGTTTGATTCCACTGATATAAAATATCCAGAACTGGCAAACCATAGAGATAAAGAATTGATTGCCTACCACGGGGGAGGGAGTGGCATGGAAAGTGACTGCTAACAAATCAGGGTGGAGTGGTAGGGTGAGAATAAAAATTTACTCCAAAAATTGATCATGGCGAGGGCTGTACAACCTATGCTAAGAACTCTGTACTCTGTACTCTTGAAATGGGTGAGTTGAATGGCATGTGAATTATATCTTAATAAAACTATCATAAAAAAACAAAACAGCAACACAGGAGCAATGTCCCACCCCACCCTGCTCACTGCCACCTCACCCCCGTGAGCTGCAGGGTACTCACTTTGAGGTCCTCGAATCATCCATCCAGCCTCCCAGCCTGCGAGGAGGTTTGGGAGGGGGAGCCTGTGATGAAAGAGAAGCCAAAATGACAGTCACTTAACACATGCAGTCACGCAGCATAGATACTGAGTTTCAAGTCACCAAAGTCAACAGCCTTCCAAAGTAATGCCCCCAAAAATATAAAAATAAAATATGTATGAATCAAAATACAGTAAGCTTTCCAATTAGCTATGAAAATTTGGGTGCTTTCAGACCCTCCTGGTGGGTGTATAAACTGGAATAGCTCTGAGAAGCCATTTGGCAGGTATCTATGGAAACATTTAAAACGTGCAAACTTTTGGGGGGGTGAGGGCGGGCCCTGGGGATCAAACATAGAGCCTTGCACATGTTAAACATGACCTCTACTACTGAGCTCCACCCTCAGTCAGCGAGTATTTTTTGAGCCAGCACTTCTAATCCCAGGAATTTTATCTCAAGGAAATAAACAGAAAGGAACATAATGTTACTTTTGAATAATGAATAATAGTTGGAAACAACCAAAATGGTTAGCAATAGGGAATTAAGTAAATGGCATAGTACATATAAAAATATTAATCGAATAATGCAAGACATTACAAAACTACTTTAAGATATGAAGTTCAATACATATTTTCAAAAATGTTTAAAAACAGTAGGCATAAACTTCTGATTTTGTGAAAAGATTTTCAATATGTAATATTTAGCATTAACTAGCTATATGTATGTGATGGGGAAGGGACTCTAATTTTAGGCAATTTTAATTTTTCCTCTGTGTATTGCTATGCATTTTGTAATTTTTAAAACAGTCAACTTACATTTTTTATAAGACAAAAATAATAAAGATATAAAAAGCTTGCTTAGAAGACATAAACAAAACTGGTAAGTTAAAATCTACTCGAATTATGTGGGAAGGACCATTCAGCCAAAATGGACACATTTAGACACCCAAGAGCACAAATTCTTACCAGCCTGTCTCAACCAGAAATACTAAGGGAACAGCAACCAGTCCAGTGAATCACCGAAGTTGGATAAAACAGCTTAGACCTTCCCTATTTTGAATTATCAGGCATTCTCCTAGGACTGTTCTGTGAAACGGCCATGCTCCTTTCCAAGAACTTCACAGAACTATAACTGCTGCTCTCAGTCCAAAGAAGTACTTTGAAAAAAGGACTAAAACGGAGGTGGGCAAATTTTTTCTATAAAGGGCTAAGTGATGAATATTTTTTTATTGAGGTAATTACCCACTCTGATACTAGAGAGCAATAAATAGGCATAACAGTAGTGAGCCAATGAGTACAGCTAAGTTTCAAGAAAACTACAAACAGGCAGTGGGCCAAATTTGGTGAAAAGGATGTATTTTGCTGATTCCTAGACTAACACGTTGTGTCATTATGACCTTTTTCTGTGGCTTAAAGCCCAACTTGGAACTTTAAAAAAATACTCCCTCGACATGCCTGAATACCTTTACACTTTTGATATTTTTATTTTACACTGTGATACGTTTTCTTTCCTGCTTCTCTAGTGGCGTCCCAGCCTGCCAAGGATGGGCTCTATTTACAGTAGGGGGCCTTTCTGCAGGGTGAGCCAGGCCCACGGGAAATGACTGTGAAGGACCCACGTCCTGGAATGCCTGTATCTAGTTTCTTGCCTGGGAAATGTAAGTAGCACCTTAGAGAAAACAAACTCAAGTTTCCTATGCAATGCATGAAGCCAGCAACAGAGCTGTCTGAAGGTTCATTACATTTCAGTTAGGAACAATACAAATACAGAAGTAGAAAGCCAGGTTTTGTTTGTCTTTCCAAGGGGAAATCTAAGGAGGTAGTAAGGGACTGAATCGATGTTCCCCAGTCGACCCCACACTCACCCACGTATAGCCTAGAAGGGGATACCTTGTATGCCACAGCTCCCTTCCCCTAGAGACAGATGACTGAACTAGGGGTACACAAGACCTGGTCAGAACCAGTTAGATTTCCAGTCCCCGGAACATGGAACAGAAGCACTGAGGCTGAGTAGTTGAGACAGCATAGAGCACTGGAACTATAAGCTTAGACAAGCTAGCATTAGAAAAACCAGAACTCTCACAAGCCGAGGTTGTGTAAAGGCAAAATCCAAGGCCCTTATCTTAAGCTCTTACCATGCATAAGGCAGGGGCTGGAGAGATGAAATGGTAAAGTGAACTGAACTAAACCAGAGGCTCTTGAAGCTGTGTTAAACCAATGTGGCCTGCAACTTTCATGAATGGATCCAAACATAGGACTATTTTGTGATAATGTAATAAAGTCATAAACTGGTGGTTGTATGTTTTGCTTGGCCATAGAATCGTCTGCCTTTTAAAGTTAAACTATCATTTAATGCTTTCCACATTAGGCCAACCATGGTGGCACACACCTGTAATTCCAGCACTCAGGAGGCTGAGACAGGAGGATTGCCATGAGTTTGAGGCCAGCCTGGGCTACACAGTGAGACCCTGAAATTCTTACATTCCAAGCCCAAGGACTGGAAACACTTCTGTAAACATCTCTTCCTATGAGTCTTGTTGTGGCCCTGCACAAACACCCTGGCTAGTGAGACAGATTGAATTAACCACTATTGCCAAGTTGTAATGCTTTTCCCTGGAATTCAGCTTTGGTCCCTGTGTAAGGAGCTAGGCACTGCCGTAGGTGCACTAAGAAAGAAAAAGATGTCACTTCTGCCCTCAAATGTTACCCACTTCAATGAAGCCAATAAGGAGGAGAATGTACTGTGTACAACTGTATGAAATCTATATGACCAAGCCAGGCATGGTGGCTGATGAATATACTCGCAGCTCTTGGGAGGCTGAGGCAGAATTGCTGTGAGTTTGAGGCTGTGATGAAGGTAGCCTCAACTACAGAGTGAGACCCTGTTTCAAAAGAATCAAAGCAGAAAAAACAAAAAAGTTTAAAGAAATCTACATGATGACCAGATGTCATGCTTAATCTGAAACCCTGAAGGCCACCATGAAGGTGGAGGCAGGCATGAGTGACTTAGGAGTCGCAGAGTTGTTCCAGGAAAAGGACCATCCCAGGTCCAAAGGTGAAGCTGAGAAGGGATCCCTCGCTTACCGGCAGTGGCAGTGAATTCTGCAGTTTTCTTGTCACCATGGTGGTTCAGGCTGGGTCACTTTCTCATGGGGCATCATTAAAAGAGCTCTGACAAGTGTGTATAAAGCTTGTGGCACATGACTAAAGGACACTACTGACCCACAAGTACTGATGAGAAAGAGAGGTAAAGGAAGCTTTTGGAGGTAAGTAGGGCTCACGTTGGATTGGAAACCTAAAGGCAAAAGCCTTCCAAAGCAACCAGATGCAGAGGCAAAATGATACAGCAGGCAGCACACAGTTCTACAGCAAATGTTGCTACACTGTCACCATAATGGTAAGGTTCCTGGGAAAAGGCTTTGGGGGTCTCAGGCCCTCAGGAACTATTATTTTACAATGCAGGCTCTAAGTTAGAAACCAATGAATCTGGTTATAATACAGGAGCTTGAAATTAAGTGCAAACGATCTATTTGAAATGGAAGCAGATGACTACTCTCAGTAATAGCACATAAAAGGCCTGATGGTTCCTTTTGCACAGCCAGTCTAGGTCCAAGATGCCTGGCTGTTCTCCCTAGGAACTCTGATGACAACGAGATAGCTAGTTAGCTCCATTCCCCACAGAATCCCAGGGTTTCCTCCTCAGGGCAATGAAACACAGGACACTCATGTAGGCCACACTGCCACCACTGCTCCTTCCTGGAGCAGCAGCCTGAACTGTTGGGCTTTCCCTTCCCAGGGATGACAGATCAGATGCCTGGACCTGTGGAGGTCTGAACGCCTTCTCTGGCTCAACCATCAGAGTGCTGGTCCCTGCCTGGACCAGTGAAAGCTTAGCCCACTAGCCACAGACCTTTCCATTCAGGCCAGGGGTCCTTGCCTTGCCTACCCATCAAGTCTTGGTGGGGCCAGAGGAAACACAAAAGCATGACTTACTCAATTTTTTGAACCCCGTATTTCTATATAACAGCCTACTTGTTTAAGAGAAAAAGAACTTGCTGTTGCTCCATCCTTGAAATCAAACATAATCCTCAAGCAGGCTGAATCAGTTGGGAGCATTTGTTCTCCTGAAGCCCATCAACTCTAGGACTTCTCTGCTGAGCACACTGGAAGACGTCACCAATTGTTTCAGTGAATCCTCTGCAAGGAATCAGTGTGCTGTCTCTGTATTACTGAAGAGGGGGCAAATAAAACAGAATGAGAAAGAGCTCAAATGACACTAAGTGCCAGAAGGAAGAGTGGGCCTGATCCTAGAATTCAAAAATCCTGGTTTATTCTTTCAATTCTTTCAATTATTCTGCTTCCGAAATCCAGAGGCAGAGTCCCAAGAGATGGCTGGAAAAATGATTTCCAATTTTAGCTGACTTACTGCCAGGTAACACTACCCAAACTTGTTTTTCAAAAAGAATCTTAGAATATGCAACCCCAATAGGGACGGAAATAGGAACAGGTGACGGTAGCCCTCAGGCAGCGTGTCCTCCGCTCTCTCTTGAACGCGGGAGTTGCGGCTGGAGTGTGGGAAATGAGCACAGCCTGCTGGGGCTGCCTCAGCTGGTCGGAGGGGGCAGGACCCTGCATAGCTCCTCAAGAGAAGCAAAAATGTGCTCTCTCCAAAAATAAAACAGAGGGCAGGAACGACTGTGAGTAAAGGGTTGGAATCATGTGACTGCAGGCTGCAGTCCTGAAATACCAGCTTTCTACAGAAAGGAGCCTATGAGCAGCGGAGAGCGGGAAATTCAGGAAATGGCCTCTTTATATGGTCTCATCCGAATGGGCTAGGACTCAACGAGTTGGAATGACCGTGTCAGAGGGAGCCTTTCTGGCCAGACTTGTTTCTGATCTTTATATGGTTTCCCCAGATTCTTAAGATGCCGACAGAGGAAAGATGCTACAGTGCCAAAAAAGGAGCCTTTTGAGTTTAGAAACTTCTCACACACTCAGAAGTCCTGGAGAAACCCCACCCCAACTCCACAACTTGAATCACGCAGA